GTTGTCCTTACCGGGGAGCAGCGCACTTCACCACTACACCATCCGGGTCCTTCGCTTTGCATGTATCTCAGCTAGTTCGAGTTTTGCAAATATCTCAGCACTTCATACGAGTTCTATCCATTTAATAAAACCTATACCTCCATCGCTTATCTATTAGGAGCTGTTATCGAAGACGGAGTAGTGAAACTAAAAAAAAACAAATTCTTCGTTCCGCTTCTGACACTAATAATTTTGCAGAACTAGAAAGCCTACATGAAATGCCACGTTTCGTATTCCTAGTTATCACAGACACTCAAGTGCTTCGTCTCCTCTGGTCGTGCAAATCACAGTACATCAACCAATCTCATTATGGCTTTCGAAAAGTCGTCCAATAAGATCGGATTGAGTATATGGAGTAGAGCTTGCTGACCTTGTTGACCTCTTCTGACAGCCACATTGAAAGCTGATCGGCCTGATTCTTCATGGGATGCCGAGATAGCTACACAGCCTCGTTACGAGATCATTATCACTCATGTTGATGGCCTATGTGGATTGAAGCAAGGTAGTTCGTCGATTTCGACGTACCAACAAAACTCAAATAGTCATGGGATTTAGAAAATAACCTGTCATGTCATCTGATTTCCTTACATATGAACATCTGCAGTTGATGAATAGGAACTTGATGCGTTCTTTAATTAGTGTATGTTCCTGCATAACCTAACCAGTTTCCCAAGAACTGAGCACTTCAAAGGGTACTGAACGAAAATACACAACAGGAATTCTAAAATAAAACATTCTGAAAGATATCACAAATTACTATTATCCACATTTAAATCCTTTATACGTAAACGCCATTGTCAAAAGAAAAAAAAGAAAAGGAAGTAGTCGTTGTGTATGGTAACAAATGTCACCAGGACTGACCTTATTGTTGCGAATAGAATCTGGTATTGGTATAGTAAACTCATATGAAAATTGTGTTAAGGATGAACGAATACGCTAAGAAAGACCTTTAACAAGCGCTAGATTCCACATCGTACAGTAGCGCATAGCGCAGTGGCTAGCGCATAGCACAGTGGCTAAAATTGCTCTGGAATACTCACATTCGAGCACTTTCGATCGATCACTCGCCTCATGCTAACGAAGCTTTTTATAACTCTAGGGTAGAAAAATTTACACTAGGCTTGCTTCGAAGAATGAAACACTGACTAGCCATGGAAATCGTTCTATAGGCCAACATCGCCACGGTGGTATGAACGGAGTTGAATGCATGGCGAACGCCCGAGAAACTTATCAGCAGTGAACGATTTTACGCTATGTACTGGGCATCACTTGCATTTGCGGCAACCCTAACAAGAGGCCTAATAAGTTTATTTAGCGACCTATGCCACTACCGAATATAGCAATAGAGGATACTGCGTGATGAAAACTTCTTATTTCATCAGGGCCACAAGGTGTTTAGGACACGTTAAGTCGTTGTAAGGATAAATTAACAGCGTACTATCAGTTCACCAACATCAGTGTATACACCAAAGATGCAACGAACGAAATGTTTCTACAAAAATCCACTTGTGCCGCTTCTCTTATTGCAGTCATGTTTGTTGCCATTAGAAAACTAGATGAGAGACAGGTGAAACGAGGGACCCGCATGGTGCGGTGGTGAACGCGTTACTACCCCGAAAGGACAATAGCGCGTTCGTAATGCTGAGATATTTGCAACACTCCGGACCGCAGGTGTACGCGGTGGGAAACGAACACGCGCTGTTGTCCTTACCGGGGAGCAGCGCACTTCACCACCACACCATCCGGGTCCTTCGCTTTGCCTGTCTCTCAGCTAGAGACAATAGCGCGTGTTCGTTCCCCACCGCATACACCTGCGGTACGGACTTTTGCAAATATTTCAGCATTACCTACGAGTTATATTTTGCAACATACTCTGCCATTAAGAACAAAAAGGCAGTAAATAAAAGGGTTAAGAATAGCGCGTTCGTTCCTCACCTTAAACACCTGTAGTCTAGCGCTTTGCAAATATCTAAGCACTATTATGGTTGTGTTTTACTGAATACTCTGCCGTGAAAAAATGGAATGAGCAGGAAATAAAAAGTTAACATTGTCATTATTATTTGTTATTATTATTATTGCTATTATTATTATTATTATTATCATTGCTTTTATTACTAGCTTTATTATCATCATTGTTCTCTACTTCAGTTTAACAGATTAATATCTTTTCTTTGAAATAAGAGCGTATCCCAATGAGCCACAAAAGTGGCTTGTGTTCACACCGCGACTGGTGTGCACACCGATTGAAGCACTAACGCATTTACTTTATCACCTGTTTTAGTTCGTTTCAGTTTCTATCAGCATAAATTCGGATTAGACTTCGGTTTGCGTGCCTTTTTACTTTTACTATTGAAGAAATTTGAGTCATAACTAAGCTGTTCACACTTAGTGATTACTTCTACTCATTAGTAATTGGTTGTTACGTGTTACTTGCTGGTTACCACTTTTTACTACCACTTTCTTTTAACAGCTTAAAAGTCATCTTGCTTATTCTTCTAATTCAGAGCATTGGAAACGGTGGAGCTTCTTATATTTCTTGTAACAACTAAAATTTTTGAGTAACTTTTTATGCGTCATTGAGAAATTCTCTATGCTTCATAAAACTTCAGCTCGTTTTAAGTTGGTCAGAGGGCAACAAGAATACATAAAATGATAAAATCGAAAAAAAAAATAGCATCGGCCTACGAAAATCTATATTTTATCATTACTTTAAAAAAAGCTTAAGAAAACTCACAGCGCTCGATTTTTTCTAGGACAGGGTTTGAACGGAGAAGTGAAATCAGTGTGAATAAGAGAAGCGCTAGCATCTACGAGGATTGGACCAAAATGGTTTCGTGAAGCAGAACGACGAGCTGATGGAGTTAAGCTGTTTGTTCGTCACTAGTTGAGCACGTTTGTTAGACGATTAAGGAAGAGCGTAGCAATCATCTTTGAAAATTCCAAAACCTTGCTAGAAGTTAAATGAAAATCGTTCAAGATTTTCTAACACCCCTGTCATACAAGAAAATTTACATTCGACAATAAATGCGACATTACTCTAGCCATTCTGCATCTTTTTAAAAACTTCGTTTCTTTTTCTGGGGGGAGGATAATCCTATGAATTTAATATGTGCATGTGAATTTCTCAAGAAGACTTTTCAGCTCTCAAAAAATAGTTTTCCGAGTAGAAGAGTAAGGCTTTCGGAACTGCTGGGCACCTCTGAGTAATGTGTACTGCACTGGGCTCCACTCATCTGAAGACACACTCATCTATTTGAAGAAGATCCGTCTCGGCACAACTACGAAGACGCCAAATAGAGAAGACGAACAACTGTGGGCCATCGACTCGGATTATCGGCTCCGATGAAAACGACTACGTAGAAACGCCAACCGAATAAAGCAAGTTTATCAACCTCACGTAAGTTCAACAATTTAAACACATTCATGTGTCATTTTTATCCTCCCAGACAAGTTTGGCACTAGTTTCTGCCGCATAGTAGCGGTGCGCATGGTTTGTCCAACCCAGCGAAATGGAACCAACGATCGCTAGTGTACTTCAGCCCACTCTTAACCGCTGCGCTGTACGATGTTGCGACAAAGATTTGTTACGAAAAAAAATCGCTTCCTACGTTATCGATGCTTTTAGTATTGTGTAAAAGGTTTAATACGAGATGTAAATGCTCGCTAGTCGTTCTAATGAATCGATCAATATCTTGTCAAGTTGGAAAGAAGTGTACTTCAGATGATTACGAAAAGGAGGTTTAAAGTCTTAAAATGAGGTGAAATCAGAACAATTATCATACCAAAACACTCAGATAAGAAAATTGCAGGCGGAAACTTCGGTTACTACAAATAGGTTATGCAGACTTTGGCCTCATCGTTTTTTGGCCAGGTTTAGCTCCTTCCTTCGCGAGTTGGACACGGTAGGGCGAAAACAACGAGATTAAGGCAAACGAGCACTTGAAGGCTATCGGGGAACATCTTCGACATAATCTATTGACCGTCTACGAAGCCGAGGCGTTTTGTAAAGTTGTAGAAAACTACGTGAGATTCTCTTTTCAAACCCTGATTTTTAGCGAAAATGATATGTCAGAAAACTAAAGGTTTCCACGATGCATTAACACGTAATTGCGAGTAAAAGAGCGCACATGAAAAGGTTATACTATTTTTCTGAACCACGGTTACGTCGTCTTCAACGATGAGAAACATTCGCTACTTCGTAACTGAGAAGCTTCTAGGTAAGACAGTTTTCCATTTCAACTGTGGGATTAGCAAGCGTTTTGTTAGCCGTACGTGTCTATTTTCGGTTTCTATTCACTTCTCTATTAAGTAAGTTCTTTGCGTTCTCTTTCGTTTATGCCAGTTTTAGGCTGTAGGAGCGTCAGCTTCCTTCATTTTTTCGTGTAACATATGTCATGTGAGAAAGTGCATTAAAATTAAGATAAAGTGTTGTGCGCTACTATATCCCTAAAATATGGTATAGCCCGTGCAGGACTCGTGCTGCTGTATGATACACAGCAGAATTATTCGTATTTTTGTTGAGCAAACGCGAGGTGTTATTATTCTTTGTTCACGATTAAACTGACGTTTCGGCGGATTTCGCCTTCCTCAGAGCCTAGAAAGGTCAAGTTGATAGCAATCTACTCGGCCAGACGCCTCCATAACCAAACAAGGAAACCCCAAACCAAGATTTCAATTTTTTTGCCTCATTATCACGTGTGATATAGGGCAGTATATAAAACTGCTTTTCTGATGTGAGGGGCACATTATACTTCCACGTGATTTCTGTGCGGTTGGTCTCTACGAGACATACTTAGTGGAAACCTCATAGGAAGCGGTGAGTGTGCAAAGCTGTGTTCAAAGTGATTGAAATTTGGTTTGGGGTTTCTTTGTTTGGTTATGGAGGCGTCTGGCCGAGTGGATTGCTGTCAGCTTGACCTTTGCAGGCTCTGAGGAAGGCGAAATGCCGAGGTTAATAGAAAGTCGGTCGTGGCAGTTACACAGAATTGTGTTCATGTCTTCTTCATTAGCAACAATCAGTGCTAGTTTGCTTCTACAACAGAAAGCAAATCGCCGCCAAACCCATAAAGACGAACAAACTCGCTTCATTAATTTTTTTTTGAAAACTATAATGAGTGGAAAAGCAGTGTGTTGACTTAGTCTGAAATAACTTCTCTACCTACTAAATCAGGAAGCTATTGATAGCTTAGAAAGAGTGTAACGAAATAGTTTTATGCGACAAGTGGAAAAGGCGCATTGGATTCAATGCATAAGGTGTGAAATATTTTCCAAAACTTTGAGATTTACACTTAATGAAAATGAAAAAGCGAATAACCTGTGAAGTCGAGTCGGCAGCATTGATACGACGCTGTCCAGAAGTTGAAATGACAACTGCCACCATCAGGACATGGTGGCCCTCCTTGACTGCAAGGTAGTGGTAGACCATAGGCCGTTCTTTGAGGTGTCTGATGACGTGGACAACCTCAATCAATATGCTTTGCATCGAAAATTTAATTCAAGCGTCCAGTTTCTATGTATTGGGCAGCGTTAGGTAGAAAACTAGCTGAGAGAAACGCAGAGCAAGGGCCTCCGTGGTGCACTGTGTAACAAGCAGGCCCCGGAAAAGGTAATCGTGGTTCGATCTGGTACGGGGTCCAAGTTTTGCGAATATCTCAGCATCTTTGTGGCTATTTTACGTCATATTTTGCCGTGAAAAATTATAGTGGGCAGAAAATAAAAGGTTAACATTGTGATTTCTGCATGATGCTTCTCTTTAACTATTGGCATATTTGGCTATTGGCATACTTATCCGTATTCTTACGCATACGTGATGCTGTTGTGCGAAAAATTATTTATTGTGAACTATTAGACTAAAAGTATTGATTTTGGACAACAAGGAGATATCGTAAAAATATCGAGCTATTACTGTGAAGAGAAAATGGGAAGGTTTTGATGTTCTAATTTGCCAATTAATTGCGTCCAGCAATCCCTATCGCTGGGAATGGGAAGCGCAATGAATAGAAATGTCTAAGAATATTCCTATTAAACCAATAATTTGACCCCAACTTTGGCAAACCGAACTACCCAGCTTTTACGGGTGGGCGTGGTACCAGATCTGCATAAGAACACTTTTCCCTAACCCAAAAAGGTCGGTGATGTTGTATAATTGGGAATGGTTTATTAGCGCTCTCCCAGGACTTCAAGCGGATTCAGCCTTACCAGAATTTAACGACAGCCATGTCGAAGACAATGTTGAATAACCTTACTTAGAACTTGAATCTATATGCTGTACTTAAAAGCTTTGTAAATGTCACTTGGCATCAAACATAATGAAAAAGCATAGCCGTACGCATGTCGAGCGCCAGGTTATCTATTTGAAAGACTTTATTTTTTAACGACTAGGATCTTACAAAATTTTTACTTTTATTTACCACCTATTCTTTCTTCATCACAGAGTTTAGTGCGAAGGTCTCAGCTCGTGCCACGGATTGGACGTGGGTCCCCAAAAGCAGTAGCTGCGGGTTCGAAGCTCACCTGAGGTTCTCAGTTTTACTCATATTTAGGCAATCCTGTGGTGACTCATATGGGCTGCATATATTTGCAAAAAAAAGGAAATTTTTGTTGTATTTCATCTTCTGTTTAATTATTGTGGAATACAACTTCTATAATGCTGCGATATTTGCAAAACTCCGGACCGCAGGCGTATGCGGTGGAGAACGGATTATCCTTTTTTATTTACTGCCTATTCTTTTTTATGGCAGGGTATGTTGCAAAATATAACTTCTATAATGCTTATTCATTGCCTTAAAAAAGGTTAAGATTGTGATTATAACTATGGCCTCAGCTCAACTGGGGTCAATGCCGATTTGGGCTCCCCAGATCAATCCCGCTGACAGGGGATTGCTAATGGCAGTGATCGACAGAACTAGCTGAGAGGTACGTGAAACAAAGGACCCACATGGTGTGGTGGCGAACGCGTTACTCCCCGGAAAGGACGATAGCGCGTTCGTTCCCCACCGCACACACCTGCGGTCCGGAGTTTTGCAAATATCTCAGCATTATGGATGTTATATTTCGTAACATACCCTGCCATTAAAAAGAATAGGCAGTAAATAAAAAGGTTAATATTGTAGAATATTTTTGCTTTTTCACTTCTTTTTGACCAAACTAAAATTGTCCATTATCAAATCCCTACTATGACGTCACTGTACTGCGAATTTGATGTGCACATGGACATTGTTATGAAAGAATCAATACTTGACACTTGACACTTGAACAAGCCATCCTCACTGGTTATGCGGGCCTTAGCATAATCACCATTTATCGGAGATTTGCTGGTTAAGCCATTGTGGTTCCCTGGAATCCCGAAGTCAGCTTGGCCAAAGTCTGCTCCGGGTCTTCACCACCACGGGTAGTCGCAGCCCTTGTGGATCAGAGGGAGATTTGCCACCATGCGACTTTGATGCCAAGACGGTGGTGTTTCCTGGTATTGGTTTACTCTTAACCAATGTTCTGATGGAAACGCCGGAATCCTCAGTTTGGGAGACTCTGCCAAGAGGATGAATCATCCCGCTGTACATCGCAATCCGACACCCAGGAACACCTCCCGGCTACGATGAGGCGGTAAACCGTTTGATGAAGGGATCAAAAACTATTTTAAATTCATCACCTTATTTTGTTGTTATTTGCATAATTTCTATGCTAGTCGTAATAATCCGGCTTTTCTTTCCTTATTTTGGAAATATCGAAGAATAGGAACACAAGAGAATGTTGTTCCATTTCAAGAAAATAAATTGCTCGCTTAATATTTCTAAGCATAATTTTTTGAGTGTCATAGACATGTGGTGCAGTGGTCTGAGGTGCCCTGGAACACACACGTGGAATCGATCCTCGCCTCCCTGGACAAACAATCCTTCCATCCCTCCGGGGTTGGAGAGTTGATACCTGACTTGTCTGGGAGGATAACAGCACTGGCTCGATACATCATCGGTAGGCCACCACGAGCCATTGTAAAGGCTGGATATGCATTCAATCGCCTCCAAACGATACTTAATGAAGTTGAATACATGGCGCATTCTTCGGGGATTGATGAACGCCGAGAGCTTCATTTTTTTGTAGACATATTATATAATTGTAGTACACAAGTGTGTAATATGTATATGTAAATTTCTAGCCATCATGTCAACTAATGAACTAAAAAGTGAAAAAACAGGAAGGAAGAGGAAGCAAACAGTATTTTACTTATTTACCTATTTACTTATTTATTTATTTACTTATTTTACCTATTTACTTATTTTGTAATTGAGGCTTTAGCTGGAAAAAAAATAATTGCAGCATTGGCATCCTACATTGTCACAACTTTTGAAAACGCCTTTGAGCTGCAGAGTGCTTTCTTTTCCAGAGCATTCTTCGAGATATCTTTTGCTCAGAAATTCAAAAAAGCGCAGTAACCCCCACGACCGACTTTCTACTAACCTCGGCATTGATCAAGTAATTCTTCGTATTTTTGTTGCTGTCAACTTGACTTTTCCAGGCTCTGAGGAAGGCGAAGTCCGCCGAAACGTCAGCTTATTCGTGAATAAAGAACAATAACACCTCGCGTTTGCTCAAAAAAGTGCTTCGTACTTGATTCGTGATAAAACAAAGCACAACTCGAATGTAGGAAATTGTTGGTCCAAGGATTCCTTTCAAGGCAACAAATTACGGTACCCGGAAATTGATAAATCAATGGCGGATTCTTTCACAATCATTCTTTCCTCTCTTTTTCTTCATTCTTGGAAGTTCAGAAGGAGAAGAAATGGTTTTTTCCCTTATAGATTCGCAGACAAACCATAAATATGAAAGCGGAGCACCACTCAGAGATGAACACCAAGAATTGATGAACGTCATCTTCTACAGTTCCGCATTGCACTTCATGGTAATAGAGATGAGCTTCAAACCTCCAACAATCGTAAGCGAAAGCGAAAACTTTATAAATCAGGACCGCGAAGCCCATCTATGACTGAGGAACCGATGCGTTGCAGTTTCAAAGGTTTTTCTTCAGTGGAGTGGTCTATTCCTTTGGATCTTTAACCCTTGAATGGTTCGTCTTTATTAAAACTGCTGTCAGTTTAACTATAATTCCTATCTTACAGATTTCTAACTGACCGATTGTCCAGAAAAGTTGTCTGGTGTCCGAAAAATGCAGACCAAACAGTTCAGTTGTTCCTGTGGGCCAGCCGAAAGTTTTGAAGCTCATTCCAGCCTCATTATGCCAACCAGAAACCATTTCTTCTTCCCCGCCACGATAAACAAGCTAGTTATCCATAATGTAGCATTCACATTCTATGTGAAATTAGTTTAAAAAAGGGAATAGGTAAGTGGTTTTAAAACAGATAAATCCACTGTGGAAACATTTATGATCAACAGTGGGAGGCATAAAAGTGGATAAGATTTCGACGAAAAAGGAAAGAAGTTAAGAAGAACAAACCATTGTCAGGTTCGCAACATTGATACCTATCGATCAAATAACTCCATTGGCATAGAGCACCACTAGGGCACAAATCGTCCGCTTTTCCTGGTGTGCATAGCAGCGGTTTCTCCGCAGCAGTCAAAAGTGCTCGTGATCCACTTGGACATCCGTGACCTGGAATTGAAAAGGGAATCCTGAGAGGCGTTTCCGACCTCAAAAGGCAAAAAACAAATTAATCTTAGAGTCATTTTTCACTTACTTTTCAATATCACCAGCTCTTGTCGTTGCCTGAATTTTTGACGTTCATCCACATGAATAGCAATGTATTCTTCGAATTCCGGCAGTAAACAGTGCTAACGTTTTGTAGGTCGCCATCACTTCCTATTATCTACCGCGTTGCCAGAATAGCAGTGATACCTGACACTGGTTTCCAACCGCTAAGCTTTCGCCTAGAAATGTTGGGCACCCCATGAGCCAAAGAGACCTCAATAAAGAGGACGAACCCATCGCTGTGCAGTTCGATCCATAAAAGCACATCTTGGTACTAATTAAATCCTTAACCATTTTTTTACACTACCCGTCATCATATCTGCTCTGCTGATCACAGAAATTCTTGCACTCGATTCGTTTTTCCTAGAATTCATTGTTCAGGAAGGTGATCAAGGATGTCGTCTGTTACTTCGGCTGCTTCTCGAGGATTTCGACTTTTTTCGACTCCTGTAGAATGCAAGTTGAATCGAATCTTCTTGCATTATTGAAGATAGCCGGGCTGAGGTGTCCCCACGTAGACTGGAGAAAAGCTTTAAGGTGGGAATGGAACTGTCGCCTTCTGCTTGTTGATTGACGGCTTCAATAACCCCTGCTCTGCATCTCCTACCCCAGGATCACTAGAGAATTCATAAACAATTTTTTGTCATTTGAGTTGGGCAGCCACTGAGCTATCTGAAAAAGTCGAAAACATCTAAGAACTGTCTTATTGTATCGTGTATTTTATTGCATATTGTTAGCCCTCGGAAAAGGTAACAGCGTGTTCAGTCCCCACCGCAGACATCAGCGGTCCGGACTTTTTCAGAGATCTCAGCGTCATTATGGTTATACTTTCAAGAGCTTTGTAAGCCTTTGCTTTTCACCTCAATGTTAGAACCCCAACTTTCTCCTCAAAGTCAAAGCCTTTGGCTATTCTTTGTGATGCAGTAGTGTAGTATAGTTCGAGTTTTCCACTTATGAGTTCTTTCTGTACACAATTGCTTCATTCTTTTCACTTTTCACTTATTTTTATTTTTAGACTGACCAGGATCTCGACCGCAACACCTCTTCGCATTCGTTAGCGTATCCGTATAGCAGAGCGCTCCACCAGGACATGAATCGGGAATTGATGGTGTGCAATTCAGCTCTATGCCGAAAGCATTCACTAAGGCTCGTGTCCCTGAAAATGAATTGCTTTATGAGCTCTATAGAACAACTCCGAAAACTTAATTATTGCACATGCAGTTGACAGCCGTTGAAGATGGCAGGTTCATAACTTCCCCGGTAGCTTCATTTTGTTGGTCAAACACGGATTTTATCTGTGTTAAGTGGAATATGCTTGCCGTAAGGAGCCAGATTTGGAAGTGAAGGAAGTAAGAACTCTTTGGTTTCTTATAGTTTTGTTTTTGATTTGCTTTTGAAAGCACTTACCTATTGGGCAGCCAATTGGTGGTGGCTCTTGGTGAAGGGCTATTAAACAACAGTAACCGGTTATATGACATTGGGATGGTGGAAGACAATCGTCATCGGATAAGCACTGCACAAGTCGATCTGTTTTTTCTGAATCACTTATCATTACTGTAGTCAAATTTTCTTAAAGCAATCACCGATAGTGAAGGAGTATAAAAATTAGTGGATCCATCAGTAAAAAAGGGTCGACTAGGTAGCCAAAGACAAAACAAGAAGAGGTGAAAAGAAAAATACAGAAAGGAAAGCACAGGAGGCCTTGTATAGAGAGCCAGAAGAAGCTTGGATTAAATTCTGGATCAAGGTCTTTTCGTCATTGGCGATGAAAAGGTGCAATAAAGAAAGCTCTGCAGAAAATTCTTTGTTGAGATGTATCGAGCCTTCCTCGAAGAAATATGAAGAAAGGAAGGACCAACATTATGAAAAGATTCTTCTGTACGTAGTATGTCTCAAGAGAAATGGGTAGTTTTCTTCCTAGGTGATTTGAGTTTCTAAGGATTGGCCATCGAAAACTAATTTGTAAGTAATAACTTGCTTCTGCAATATTTCAGAACACTTTTTAAACAGAAAGTTACTATACCTTTCAGTAGTCTTCCCTCTTTGCCACACAGTCGTTCGTGATCTTCCTCGACTTCGAAAAATGTCTGATTACTGTCGCCAGTTTGCTCGGAAACCATAGGTATAAGAACTCAAAGGAACATTCTCAGTTTTAGTAGTTAAAGTTGGAGTATAGGAAAAAAAGAAAAAAATAATTTAAATGAAAAAAACCGAGGAAGCAAAAACAGAAGGAAACACTAACAGGCGGCAGCTTCATTATCATCTGCTAATGAACTGCCTAAAATAGTGGACAGTAGTACCAACCAGAAGAACATCTCTGCGTGAACGACACATTTCGAGACGACGGCTTTTAAACGACCAGTCGACTGTCGGTCGGCTTTGCTAGCCAACGGAAAACCGGTCAATCTCCACTGTTAGTCATTCAGAAACGAGACTCTTACCGGAAGAGCAACATTTTTTTTTCCAATGCCGCAACGCAAACCATCATGTGAATGAGTCGCCCATGAGCGAAACTAAGTTAAAAAGGGTGTTTTGGGACAAAACGAAAAAGCTTTCGTGGTTTTGATCATAACAGGAAAATGATGACGATTACATCATTTTCTACAGTTACATAATCACTGATTTAAAAATGTAGTTAATTATATGGCCAGCAACCTAAGAGCATAGTTTCACATCAATTTTCTACAAACTCTTAGTTTGTCTTAAAGCCCGCATAACATTGTGGGAAAAACTTACAGAAGTGTTGGTAGTTAAAGGAAAAAGAACCAACCTAACGTTCCACAGAGTCTCGTCGTTTTGACCGCACACAGCTTCGAGAAGTCACTAAAAAACCTCGTGTACTTTGGTTCATGTTCTTAAATAACATGAATATGTGGTCCTGCAAAGTTTCCCCAGTTGCTAGCGCAAGGCGGCTGCCATCTTTTCGATAAAAATTTGCATCCAGTATTGGTGGAAGGCGCGTGTGGCGCAGTGGTCGGAAGCGCCGCTGTGACACACACGTGGAATCGACGGCCGGGCCCATGGCTCACCAAGCCTTCCATCCCTCCGGAGTCGGCAAGTTGGTACCAAACTTGTCTAATAGGATAGCAGCACTGGCTCGATACTTCGGCGGGCCACCGCGAGTCATTATAAAGGCCAGATATGCATTCACTCACCTCCAACGACACTTAATGAAGTCGAATGCATAGCTTATCCCTCAGGAATTGATCAACGCCGAGGGCTTTATCCTTATTATATATTGGTGAAGTCCGAAATCACGAAAGTGACGACGCCGATTTTTCGACAACTTCTGTTATTTTGGAGATAGCTAAGGCATTGGGATTCAAAAAGCCGCTAGCATTATTTCTGTTCCCTGCTCCCACCTGTTCATGCAATCCCTAATGCTTGTGATGAAGACGAAAACAGGTATACCAGCATTCCAAGAGAGTGAACTTGAGCCGAACTTAGCGGCACTTATAGAAACATCCACTGATACTTTAGCACAGAAATCTTCAAAAGATTGGAAGCCAATTTTCATTTGTTTTAAAATTTTGAACCCAAGAGGTTAACTGTAAGTGTTTACGATATAAGGGAGTTCATTACGAGCCGAAATGCTTTTATTTGAAGTTTAAAAGCTATTTCGATTAGCGTCGTTTTTTCTAGAAGTCTGTGAGCGCACTTCAGCTATCCAAGAATTGCTGAATGTAATCAAAAAGCCAGCTTTATAACGGAAGGACTAAAGGGCGCATTAATAACGGTTCTTCACAGGAAATCATCAGTTGAAGATTAGGAAAAAAGTAACTTGAGATATCTACACCAAGCAAAAGCATTGAGAAATATAAACATGTAAACGATATTAGTACTTGATATTGATTAGATAGTAATATATTGGGTATTAGATAACAGAAGCCTCCCAACTGTTTACCGCCTCATCGTAGCTGAGAGGTGTTCTTGGGAGTCGAACTGCAATGCACAGCAGAGGAATTCATTCCTTCAACAGGGTCTCCCAACCCGAGAAGAAGTACGGCGTTTCTATCAGCAAGCCCAGCTAAGAGTAAATTAATACCAGGATCCAGCACCGTCCTGGTGTGTAACTCGTCGCATAGTGGCAAACCTCCCACCGATCCACAAGGGCTGCGACTGCCTGTGGTGGTGACGACCTGGGGCAGACTTTGGCCAGGATGACCTCGAGACTTTAGTGATCTGCAATGGCTAGACCAGTAAAACTACGAAGAACGGAAATTGTGCTGGTTCTCCCGCAACCATTGAAAACGGGCAATCCAAGTATCCAAGCATTCAAGATAGCAGAAGGTATGAGTAGCTTGTCAAACACATTCGGCCTCTAGAAACTGTTCATCAACTTCTACTGGATTGATCCTGTGGCGAAAGAAAGAAGTACGACAGATATAGGTAAACTACAACATTTTCTAGAATGTACTCGCTGCTGATCTTCCTCTGTCGGACTCCTAGGAGATAGTGTTTTCTTCAGAGAGTTAATAAAGTGACTGAAGTCTTTGGTGTCGTCGAGACAAACACTGCTATTGTTCAAGTCTTGATGAATAGACATTATAAAGAAATACTTAAAAATTCGAACCATTGCTATTTTTGGAATAATTGCTCTCAGTTTTGATTCAGATCATGATGTAACGGACTTCTGTACTGAAAATTTGAAGTATCTATGCGAACTTGTTAGTGAAACCTGATGGACCTGGTGTAAAATGACAAAAAGTATTGACCCATCTGACACAATTTTTATTCAATACCAATTCTTTTCTAATGGAAAGCATTAAGACATTGTGATTTCGACTCAGCTTCAGCATGGCTGGATTCAATGCCAATTTGTCTTCCCAGATCATACCTGTTGACCGATGATGGATGAGAACACCGATAGAGTATAACACAGCTGAGTTAAAAGCAGAGCGAAGACCTCGGTTGACTTGGTGGATAGCATGTGATACCTCGAAAAGGGTAATCGCAGGTTCAAATTCCAACTGAGGTTCTCAGTTTTGCTCATAGCTCGGCATTCACGTGGGTGGCGTCTGCGAGATGTACACCTTTAGAAAGTAAAAAGAGTTTTTTCATGGATTTTGTCTTTTATTGAATCATTGTTGGATATGAATTGATCTTGTTGAGCTGATGGTATCGCAGTGGTGCCTCCAATCACTGCGCCACGCGCGCCCTCATAGGAACATATAAATGAATATATCGATTATTTATGCCGAGGTTTATAGAAAGTCGGTCTTCTAAGCTATTGTTGGATAATTTTTATTTCCTGACTTTTTTCTCGGAACTAAAATTTTCAATCAACTCACTACTTTGTCGTCATTGTATTGCAAATCTGATGTGCATATGGATATTCCCATAAACGAATCAACAACTACGACAATGCTGAGGTATTCGCAAAACATGGGCCTCGGGCCAGATCGAACCACGATTACACTTTCCGGAGGCTCGCGTACTACGCATTGTACTACTGAGGTACTAAATTTGCGTTTCTCTCAGCTAGTTTTCTACCTAACGCTGACATCAACAATCAGCCGTCAGCGAGATTTGTCTGGAGACCAAGAATTGGCATTGCATCCAGTTAAACCGCGGCTGTATGCGAAATCACAATGTTAACTTTTTATTTGTTTCTTACCATGATTTTTCATGGCAGGGTATGATGTGAAATATAACGGCAACGATGAGAAGATAGTCGCAAAACTTGGACCCAAGGCCAAATCGAACCACGACTACCCTTTTCGGGTGCTCGCGTATTACACAATGCACCACTGAAAAATTATAGTAGGCGGCAAATAAAAGGTTAACATTGTGAATCAATAACTGCTTTAAATTCGACACCTAATTTTATTATTATTTGCATAATATCCACGCCAATCGCTGTTGCTTCTGTAACCATACAGCCTATTCTTTCCTTATTTTGGGAATATTAGAGAATAGGAATTAAACTGAATACTGGAGTAGAGGCAGAGGCGAGACGAAGGGCCAGAATGGTGTGGTGGTGAAGGCGTTAGGCCCCGAAAAGGGTAATAGCGCGTTCGTTCCCCACCGCAGACGCCTGTGGTCCAGAGTTTTGCAAATATCTCAGTATCGTTATGGCTGTGTTTTCAAATGTTATAGATCTATTGCATATGTAAAGTTGTAGGAATCCTATTAACACAAACTAAAAAGAGGAGGAAGCAAACATTGCTTTATTCATTTATTTATTCTACTCGGCGTAAGATGTTGTGCGGATACCAGAACTTCTTTCGTTTGGTTCGCACTCTTAAATCTGTCATCTAAAAAAGTCTTTAGATTTGCCTGTGGATTGGGATGTCACGTAAGGATTTTGCCTTTGCATGAATGTCGTTGAATGCTGGTCGAATCGATTTTCTGTGGAATCTGAGATAGTTCTGTTAAAGCGTTCAAGGGATTATGCCACAGGTGGTCGCTGACCTTTGTGTACTGCAGAGAGTTTCTCCCAAACACGCATTGTAACAATTTTGCGACTCCGGAATCATATGAACGTTTGTGGGCCCAATGCGAAACTGAACCAGATTCTACGCACCATTGCGGGCACCTCTAGACAGTGCACTTTCCAAGCCCAAAGGAAACAAAATTTCACTGGAAATTCGTACTGCGTAAATGATTACTTATGTTGGTCAGTCCTTCGATTCTCGAAGTTGTAGCAAAGAAAACTTGTTGAATTAAGCAAAAGTAACGTCCTTGATTAGGCAGATGGTCAGAACTGAGGATACTTGTATCCTCTAAGGTCCACTCCAACGTCTATTTGACGAGTACTCCCTTATCTGATGACTGACGCATCAGTGCCTCACTGCTGTAAATATACATTTGACAGAGTAAGAAAGGCGCTTTGCTTGTCGAAGGCCCGAACTAGGATCTAAGTGTTTGTTGTGGCGTTTTAATCGCAGAATCCAGCTGTCCTAGTGCTTTTGGATGGCACACAAAATTCGGAGTGCGTTTAGGATGCGAGGACATTTCTCCGAATTGTATAGAGGAAACCTAGAGAATGGCTGAGTAAGAACATGAAAATCTGTTCCGTTGACTAGTCAGCTCTCCTAGAGAGCAAAGACATCACATGTGGCGATTACTTTTTTCTCAGTTTTTTTATATCACATTTTAATATTCTCCTCATCAGAAG